CCATACACACATACATTCATAATGGCATACAGACATACACAGACATACATTCATAATGGCATACAGACATACATTCAGACTGACATACATGCATATATACAGACATACTGACAGACATACAGACAGACAGACATACATAAATACAGACATACATACATGCATACATCCAGACATACATGCATACATCCAGACAGACATACATGCATACAGACAGACATACATGCATACATACAGACAGGCATGCATACATACATACATACAGACAGACTGTTATGGACAGAAGAATTAAAATAAAATGGCTACTAATGTCTATTTATTCTGTGTTCACTATGTTAAAACTGGCTGCTGGCTAAATATTCCCTCCCCCCCCTTCAATGTGTTCAGTCACTATTTTCTCTTCAAATTCCTCCCATCCTGCTAGCCTCCCCCCTTCCCATCGAGCAAGCCTCATGTAACAAATTCCTGTGTTAAAAGAACAGCTTCCTTTATTAAACTCCTCCCCCACTTCCTTTGTGCAAAGTAATAGCTATGTGCCACATGTAACAAAATAGAGAATCACTGTTAAAGTAACTACTACTCACTTCCCCCCTCCCATCGTGTAACCAAGATGGAGCCGAAATATGGGTGTGAGAACTCTGTAATGACGACACTACATCCTGTAGGGGGGGTTTAGACAAGACCCCTTAGACTGTTAACCAATTGATGAATGTATACTGTATGTTAACTGTGACTCTGTACATGCACCCCCTGGAATAAAGGCACTCTGGAGTTCTTCATAAACCTGCAATGTGTCCGGTGTGATTTACTTCCAGAAGACATGCGCACAATCAATTTAGAAAGGAGTAGATAGACAAATAATCAAAGTTTTCTTTGGTATCTAAATCAGTTGGCGCAATTCCGAACAGGGACAAGAGGGTTGTGTTACTACAGAAGCCGTAATTAAAGACCAGAGATTGGAAAAAATAGCTTGATCACCTCTGCATATGGTAAATGAGTTACTTACCCTATATTTTCCTTTCTTTGGACTTCGCTTATTCTCCGTGCCTTCACTTGGCTTCCTGTGGTTAACGTCTTCGACAGGTATATAGTATGCCCACATGTCCCCTTTATTTGAATAGAACCTGTCAATTTGTCTATCTATGTCCTGTATGTGAGTTTTATGTGTGAAAGTGTCTGCTTGAGAATCTGTTTTACTACTTGCTTAATACTGTTATATAATACTGCCAAGTGCGGTTAAGCACTGGCATATTTAGCCAAGTTCGGGTTTGGTGGAAAAACCTGGCATTTCTTTTGATTTAGTAAGACTCGGTTGAGAGTCTAGCGATTTCTTTTGATTATTTAAGTTCTGGGTTAATACAATACCCTGGCAATTAAGTTCGGGGTTAATACAAAACCCTGGCGATTTATATAAAAAATCCTGGCGTATTTCTTATATATTAATTGTATTTCTATATGTTAATTGTAATCTGTATTGTCACTCTCCTATTCTATCTTTTGTCCTAAGGAGAGCTGTGCTTAGGCAATCATATGGTTAAAAAACTTCGTACTTGCAAGTCTTCTCCTTGTGAAACACAGTGAGGAATGTGAGGGAAATCTTCCAGCTGCTGGCCGTTAACTGGCCATTAGCTGCTGAACGAAAGAAAAAAAAACAAAAAAAAAAGGGGATATTTGCTGGACAAATATCCTAGTTAGGAACTTTGTGTAATCTTGTATATATTGTTAAGTAAGAGGTGATTGGCATATTGGAATAAAGAAAGCAAACAAGGAAAGTTAGATTTTGTTGGAATAAATGAATTGTGGAATTCATAAATGAGAATGCAGAGAAAAGTAAATTGCAGTTTGCATGTAATAGCAGCTATTCAGATGCTGTATTGTGGCAATCTTTATACACACAATGTGAAATTGCCAATAGTGAAATTGCCAAGAAATTGTTTGTTAATAAGAAAAAACAAAGATCAGAAATGTTATGAAACTAGTCTGTACTTACAATGCATTGATTTGTAAACGGGATGCAGGTCATGAAAATTTAGAATCAGCAGATAAAGAAATAGATTTGAATATGTTAACAGAAGCCAAATCAGATTTAAATGAACAGTGTAACAAAGTAACAGAGAGCACATGCTGTAAACACAGTCTGTGAACTAGAGATTAGAGTTGAAGTAAGAAATTATCTTATTTGACAGCTTACAAATGAAGTTAAGCACGTGTGTGTTAATACAAGAAAAATACAGGCACAGAATTTAATTCCAGAACCAATAGAAACTGTAAATGTATCCTCACAGAGTAATTTGCAGAAATGTAAATTTCAAGACAGAGATGTAAAACTTAATTTGAAAATCCATGAACAATTAATGAAAATTGTGAAATGTATTCCAGTTTATGACATGTCAGTGGATGCATTTACTAATGCTGAAATGTTTTAGTCAAATTTGGACAAATATAGCCTAAATGACGAACAAAGGAATAGACTATTTAAAACATGGCTGCCGACTCAAATGGCATGTAGACTGACCGCGCCTGTAAAATGTGAGGACAATGATAAAATAATATATGGAAATAAGCAAGACAGATTAACACAATTAATAAAATTAACAACAAGGAATGATTTTGCAGAAATGTTGGAAAAACTAAAACCACACATTGATGAGGATATTTTTAGTTTTCTTGTAAAATTTGAAAATGCATATAGACTTGTTGGTAATTTTCCTGAGGATCAGTTAATTAATGAATTTGTGAAAAAATGTCACGATCTAGATTCAACTGCAATTGTGTTAGCTAGAGAAAAAAGTATTTTGAAAGAAGTTGCTTTATTCTTAGATAAAGTAAGGAGGTATCCAGACATGAAGGGGTTACACTGACTTGTTAGACGCAGAGAGAGGAGTGCAGATTTGACCCCCTCCTTTTTTCCTTCTAGAACTTCCTTCTAGAAGTGTGAAAGAGCAATAAAGACACCTGAGCCACTGCCAATTGCCTCAACTACAAACACTCAAAGGCAGAATATAACTACTAAAAGTTATTTGTGTTTGGTGCACATTATTTAAGATCTTGCAGATATTTGATTCTAGAGTTAAAACCAGCACAAGAATAGAGATATATGTTTGTTTGTTGTTTTACTAAATTGTTAGTCTGTACTGTTTTTTTATTGTTTTTGTTTGTTTTTTCATTGTTTTTATGTATGTTATATTGGGTGTACGCTATTATACAGTAACTCCACTCCTTTTTACGGAAGGAAAACCTTGTTACTTCTGGGGTTGAATTAAAATCTTTGATTTAATTCATGAGAATGAGATTTTAATATCATGACAGATAATGGATTACTGTATATTACAACACCTGGACATACACATGTTTTGGATATACTGAAGACAAAAGGAATAATATATGGGAATGGATAAGGCTGATTTCCCCCTATCCATAGCCACACCTACTCCTAAAGTAACATCACGTCCATCCTTACTATGCCCTTTTACTGTAGAATTGCCCGAATCCTAATGACCAATTCCACTATATGGTGTGACTTGTTTAAGCCTAAGATAAATTGCCTGATCAGGCTACCTGTATTAACAAGGTCATCAACGATGAGTTAGCATCTGTGGAGAAGTATCACTTCAGGTTGTCCCAAATTTTCTTTAAACTTAAGTTTTAGTACATAATAAGGCCCATACCCAACGGCTACATGCAGTCTTGTATAGCAGGCCACATGACATCTATTTGTAGCAAGCATGGCCTGCCTGACTCCTCATTCCTGTCTAACATTGTTGACTCCTGCACAAGTGTAGATGGCTCTCCTTGGAGTAGCCTGTTAACTAAGCCTTGCTTTGTGGTTACCTTCACCTGTCCAATTAATCTGCTATGTGCAGATGTCCTTCCCCCATTTGCAGGCCTCTATCATCTTATTATTTATTCTGTTCCACACAGTGAAACCTGACCAGGAGGCAAGGGTCCTAACTAGTTCCCCCAATACCTTTACCTGAATTATACAGGCTCCGAAGATTTTGTATACCTCCATGTTACCTCCCCCCTCCCCCCTCCCCCCCGAAGCCTGTCCAAGCTCTTACTATTCCCTAACAGGTTAAGGCTCTGATGTTGAATGTTGCCCTGGTTCCCTGAGACTCTATCTGCAATCTCCCACCTCTCCTTGTGATGGACGAATTCTGTGCAGGATAGTGTCACCCTGCAGAGATGATACTCTATTTACCTGGCCACTCTTCTGCCACTTCCCAGGGGGGGAAATGATAAGACACTGACTGAAAGGGTTAATGCTGTAATGGACTCAAATTCCCTCGGTTCTCGATCCCTCAGTCACCATAATCAATGTTGATGGAGAATCATTGTCAGCAATAAGACACGGACAACAGGATGCTTGACAAGACTCTCAAATGAGTGTATTCCAGAGCTAGCTTTTATACATAGTTTGCTTACATTAGCCATGAGATATGCCATACAGTACAGACTATAAGATTTATTACTTCCTTATATTACATGTTATTCTGACAATGGAAAGATAAGCTTTTGAATACGTCTGGGGAAGAATATCCTGAAATCGGAATGGGCAAGACATCCTGAGATTTAGCATTGTCTTACATCCTATAGAAGAAATACCTTAGTCTGTCAAAGTCAGCATATTATGTCGTAAATTGAGTTTAACTATTTCATAACCTTTCAGTCAGCAATACTAATTATAAACCTTATAAAAGCATAAAATACATATGAACAAGTTAACTATTTCATATTCCTTACATTTCCCCTCTTTGAGCACTTAATTTGCTCATCTAATCGATAAAATCTTACCAGGACAGAGAAACTTCCACATGGTATTTTCAGGGGTGCTAGTCACTCCCTGCAGGACTTTCATTAATTTCTTCACCTTGATTCCCATGTGGTAATTCCTGAGGCCCAGTTTAAAGATGGGTTGATACCCTCCAGTGGCAGAGAGGAGAATTTCTAATTGTTTCTGTTCTGCATTATGGATTAATTTCCTTACTTTCTTCCTCAATGTACAAGTAAGGTGACAGTTATATAAAATCATACACAATAAAATCAGGACTATAATAACAAAAGGATAGAAGAATGATTTCATTATCTGGGATCCAGTAGGGGACCAACCAGTAAAGCATCGTACCAATGATGGGCTAAATCATTCTGAATTTGTGAACTCACCTTAAGGAGTTCTCCTTTTAGGATATGTGTGGCTACCTGTGTGTGTTATCTTTGGGAAAATATAGTCCCCTGTGTATGTGGGTGCCCACCAGGTTAAATTCTTGGCAAAAAGATCATAAACTGGTACTGGTAATGTGTTAAATTGACAAGCTAATTTAACATCCTTTGATGATGTATGATATAATGTAAAATAGCATGAACATGAAAAATGTGAAACATTACCAGTTAACCATGCATTGCATTTAGTGGATTGGGGTTTTAGAAGTAACCATTCATTATCTGTGAGGTTACACATTCCTCTAATCTTCTCAAGTTTAGGAATCATTAGTGTGTTTTCTAATGCCAATCCTTGTTGTTGTATCCATAAATACCTGATGGCACAAGTACTCCAGTTACTTAGATCTGTAGTGAATTTCATAGTTGCAACAGTTAAATTATCTAAATAATTATACATTGATTTATCTAAATCCAATCCTATAACCTGTGATTTAACAACAATTGGAGCCCAGTTTGCAGTAGCATTGAAACCAGTCCCTATATGCATGCTGGCTGTGTTTAACTTATTCTTGAGGGTCTCTATATCTATAACTATTTAGTATACCTATAGTGGTTCCAGCACCTCCTAACAGTGTGTCATACCATTCCCTTTTCTGCCTTTTGTTTGCTGTGTTACATAATGTTACAACAGGAGTAGTGATTTTTAATGACACATGTACAGCTTGTAAGACGACAGTTGTATTAATACATGTGGACGGAATAGGTGTGTGTGTGTGTCGTTGATGACTTTTGGTTCTATGGTAGAGGATAAAGGACAGTAATAAGGTGTAAAAATATAAGGTAGTGTATAGTTCTCATTTGCAGTGTCGTTCATAATGACTAACATTTGTCCCCTTCTCCAATTAATGATACCAGTCATATAATCATTATTAAAAGTAATAAGGCCTGTCTGTTTACATTGCAACCTTAACTGTGCACATTTCTGTGTTATAAGATCTAACAATTTTCTGTGAACCTTCAAACAAACATAATGCATCGGTTTCATTAGCTGTGGACACATTTCATATGGGTAACTGGTAATTATAAGGGTTACTATTTGTCCAATTCATCCAAATGCGTTCAGTGAATAAATGATTGCATATTACATGCTGATAGAAAGGTGGTGGAGAAGGGTTCTTGAGGGGACGTGTGTGACGAATGCTAGATGAGGGGCTAAGGCCTAATTGGGCTGGGGGTAGTGAAGAATTGTTCATCATGTCAGAGTCTTTTTTCCAGAAGCAAACAGGTTTCAAATTTGCCATTGACTTGTACTCATAATGGCATTCAAGGAACAATATCAAAGGGAGTATAACAACTCCAGAAAGCATAGCGCACAACATAATCTTGGTCTCAGGTACGTATGATCCTCTCAATCTACGATATGGTGTAAAAGCCATGATGCTTCGCTGAGGAGAAATTCTTCTGTTTCCGAGCGAGGAGTGGTGTTGTCTTCCTTGGTTCCCCTCTTTGGACACAGCTTCACTCGGGATGCGTGAATCCAGATGTCATGGGAATCTGTGAGGATAGTGGTTCTGGGTACAGCAATCACAGTAGCAGGTGGTCCAAAAGGGTATCCTCCTTTCTTGGTCCTGTTCAGCTGACGGATATACACCTTGTCACCGGGCTGGTATGGATGAGTAGGTTCCTGTGAAGGTAAGGGAAAACTGCGAAGAAACATTGTCATACATACCATTCAGTTTTATCAACAATTCCTGTACATATTGTTCTTGTATTAGCTGTAAATCCCCAGACATTATAACAAGCGGTTCCCTGGCCCAGGGTGTGGGAAAAGGTCATCCTATCAAAACCTCAAATGGAGATAATTTAGTCACCTTATGGGGATTCATTCTTATCTCAGCTAAAATAGCTGGTAGATATCTAGTCCAATTTACCCATGTTCCTGGGTAAATTCTGGGCTTTTCCTTAATAGTCCTATTCATCCTTTAAACTACCCCTGTATTCTGTGGATGACAGGGTATATGGAACTGCCAGGTAACTTGCAAGAATTTAGCAAGTTCCTGGGCAACCCCACTGGCAAAAACCGGGCCATTATCAGAGCCAATCTGCAGAGGGCAGCCATACCTGGGCATAATTTCAGTAACAATAATCTTCACTAGCATCTTCCCTAGATGTCACAAAGGCCTCATGCCATCTACTAAACTGATCAACTATGACCAGTAAGTATTGCTGTTTCTTACCAATTTTGGATACATGAATAAAATCAATCAGTAAGTGTGTAAAAAGAGCAGCGTTCACACGATATTACAAAAGACTGTACATGCTGCCTGAGATTCCTAATATAAAATGAATTCATGAGGAATTGAATGGTGCTTGCTATGTGACTGACTTATGAAAATAAAGCAACTTGCTTCAAGTATGCCTATTCTCCCCTCTTTAGAGAACAGATCATTCTGATCTTTCTCTAAACCTTGTTTAATCCAAAAGACAGATTCTGGGTATTAAAAAAAAAAAGAATCTCATAACCACTTAAGCGCTGGGCTGTCATGTGTTGTGTGGTGATATTTGTTATCAGCTGAGTGACCTGGTGACTGGCATGAAGTATTGTAGGATGCCCTAGTGTGATAGTAGTAGCAGTTTCAACAGTCATTGCACATGCTATCAATGCTCTGAGACACGCCGGCATACCCTGTACCGGAGCTCGAACTACTTTGGAAAAGAATGCTATGGGACACATACCACCTCCTTGCTCTTGTGCACAGACCGCGGCCATGGTTTTACAATTGTCCCAAGCATACAAATGAAATGGTTTACAATACACAGGTAGTCCTAAAGCCTGGGCTTGCACAATAACAACTTTAAGGGCAATATATGCAGCTAGCATGTCTGGTGACCAGCAGACATTTTCAGGGCTTTCAGAACGTACAGCCTCCCTTAGGATTGAGTCATAATGGGAGCATTCAGGGATCCATTGGTGGCAGTAATTAATCATGCCGAGGAAGGTGAGCAACTCCTTCCGAGTAGTGGGTGTAGGAATCCTCTGAATGACCTCAATACGTTTTGGACTCAATTGTCTGGTGCCTAAAGCCAAAACAAAACCTAAGTATTCAACCTTTGATATACACAATTGCATTTTGTGTTAAACAACCTTGTGACCCACAGTTGCTGACAGTATCCACAGTGCTTGCTAGGGCTACATAACAACAAATCATCAACATTTTGCAAAAAGGACGGAACCATGACCGGTGGTCCATGTTTTTTAGAGTATGTTGGAGTACCAACGAATAAACAGCTGGGGAATCCACATAGCCTTGGGTAAGCATGTCCAGGTAAACTGACAGCCTTCAAAAAGTAAAAACCATAAGTAGCTGTGTCTCTTGATCAATAGGTATAGAAAAAAATGCATTACTTAAATCAATGACAGTGAAGCAAGTGGCAACGTGTGGAATGGCTGTAATGAGGGACAATGGGTGCAATGGGCACAATTAAACTATTCAGGGCTCTAAAGTCCTGAACTAAGCGATATGCTGGCCAGTGGTGTTGGGAGTGGGTCTGGTGTTGTTCTTGCCTACCGGGCATATTTTGAGAATTGTGGGGTTGTTGGGGTGTGTGGGGTTTCCTGGGGTGTGGACACTCATTCCTCCAGTGGCCATATTGGCCACAGTTGAAACAAGTGTTCCTGTCTATTCCTCCTTGGTTACCCCTGCCCCTATAACCCTGATTTCCCTGTCTCCATCCCCTTGCCCCTCTTTGACCACCCCTTCCACGGGCTTTATGTGCTCCATCCCATCCTCGCTCTCAGCCTGTGTAGGTGGACAGTGTTGCAATCCCTGAGCATAATAAGCAACCTTACTTTCCTAAATCTTTTCTTAAGTCAAAACAACCTGCATTTTCCTTTTCTATAACCTTGGTAAGAAAATCTGAGCTATCCAAATTGGCCCAGTCTGAAATCAATTGTTTCACAAGCAAAGAATACTGTGGCAACATATTACCAAGGCATGACTGTATTTTAAAGAAATCTATATCATCTCCAGACATCAAACCTGCCTCATCCTTCCAACACTTGTAAAATTTATTTACAAAAATCATATTACCAATCTCTTCCTTTGCATCTTGCTTATATGCCAAAGCAGTGAATATAGACTGCTTATTCTTCCATAATCCCAACATTTCAGCTTCCACCTTGTTCCAAATTTTAGCATATCTCACTGAAGTACTAAGCTCATAATCACCAATTCATTTCAAACCATATAACTCATAGTCAGTATCCAATGTAATATTACACGTCATCTCACAAAACAATATCTTTGTAGAAACACATAATGGGTACCCAGCAGATATGCCAATACAGAAATCACATTTATCGGCACACAACTACACACTCCTAGGAAACACGGATAGACACAATATAAAAGCAATCTTAAACTAACACCTCCAAATCTCCAACTATTCTTGGCCAAAACGCTAGTATTCAACAACTAATAAAACAGTTATTTGCTAGGTTATTTGGCTGTCATTCTTATCAGTATCACTAGACTGTGACAAACTGATTCACATATAATTTAAAACAATACAGCAACATATAAATTAAACCACTTTCAAGTTAAACTGCACACTTATCACACATTATCACAATCACCATTTACACAGAATAAACAGTTAACAGCTGTATTCAGAACATATTATTGGAAGGTATACCAATTTTAGTTTAGATTTATTTTAGGGATTCTTATGTATACATTTTCTTAATTAACTTCATTACTTTAATCTACTATAGTATAGTATTGTGTATAAAGAAAGGATCCATTTATATAGCGCGCTCATAACTCAACTATTTGTATAAAACTTCCATTAACTAATCTGAGATGATGCTGCATCAACTTAAATCTTATAGAAATTGAACAAACATCTGGACCAGATTAAACAGACATGGTTTCATCAGAATCTTTCAGAACTCTGAGACTTAAAAAAAAAAAATATTCTATACCATGTTTTAAAGGCATGGCAAACCGGTCAGTCTCCAAGAGCCTTAGTACAATAGGTAGAAACCTTTGTCCATGATTTCTGATCCAGGCTATACGTATACAACAATTTAAAATAACACATAATGTGAGACATAGAAGACACAAGCAGTAGTTATTACACTGGATCATTTAAAAGGAATCTGTCGCAATAAAAATGTTAGTTTACAGCGCAAAATAAAGCATGTGTTGGACCGCTGAAATGTAAATGCTTCTCTGTTATTTTCAAACATAAATCATATTTAGTATGGATCCTTTGCAACAAACACACAGGGCAGGGAAGATGTGCTGATTGGTGTTTCTATACAATTAATCCCATATGGGTAATTAACTTTCAAATACTAATGAAGTGCTTCCTTTTTGTCTCAGTATAAAATATACTGAGCTCATCATTTAAAAAAAAAAAAAATGTAACTCATTTACACTTATCCCACTCTCATAAAAAGTGTAGTGGGCTTATGGTATTTTTAAAGCAACAATCATACCAGGCACACAGATCCCATGTGAAATAACTTACAATAAAACAGAGTAATAAACTTATACTTCTATGCGACAGAAAGAATAAAATAAAAAGATTTAAGTAGGTCTATCAGGTACAACCTGTGAGTCATTTCTTTTCTAATATACAGTACTGCTATCTTGCAGAAAGATAAGTCCTGCGCTCACTCCCATCACTACTGGGCAGCAGCAAGGACTACAGTACACATCAGCCCCAATATATGGTAAAAACCAAAGAAAAACAAGTTACCTGCGTTCTCTCCTTAATCCCTATGTATTTTTAAAACCTCCATTTGTTTAAAAGTACTGCTATCTTATATATACACATATACATATACACACATATATATACATATATATTGGTCACTCAGGACCTGAACTCACATTTCCCATACTGCTGACTCAGAATGGGGACACTACTAACTTACCAAAGTGTGTCCCCAATACAGACAATCACCCACAAAGAACACTTAAGTCAAACAAAGGTACCTAGAGCATTTGGCACCCGGGGCGGATCTTGTGCTTGGCACCCCCCCCCCCCCCGGGCGGATCTTGTGCTTGGCACCCCCCCCCCTTCCCAAAAATGTAAAAATGTTAAAGGTTTTCTTTCTTTCTTTTTACAATTTGTAAACTTTGCAAAACCGCTGTCAGCCCCTCCTACAAAACCCTTGTCCTGCCCCCATCCTACAAAACCTCTGTCCTGCCCCTTCTACAAATCCTGTACTGCCCAGTCTACAAAACCCCCGCAACCCCCTTCCACAAATCCCCTGCTTATCCCCCCTTATAAAGACTCCTGTCCCAATACAAAAACCCCGCCCCCTTCTACAAAATCCCTGCAGCCCCACACACACATTTACAGACAGACAGTCACACACACATTTACAGGCAGACAGTCACACACTCAGTTACAGACAGACAGTCACACATACACATTTCCTCCGTGCGGCCAGTTTATCAGCTGTTTGCTTGAGTGAGCTGTACTGGC